GGGAGAATCCAAGACATATTAAATACAAGAAAAGATACACATCAGGTCTGTTCGAACTGAAATTCACAAAGCCCACATTTCCCGCATTTCCCAAGCATCCTATCATCAATTATACAGCCTGTGGCTTGCTAGATGTACTGGACAACATCTCTGAGCTTCTATTTTGAAGCTGAGACTCCTGAAAAAGGTCTAAGCAGCTGACTTCTAAAGTCTGCAGCTGCTTCATTATCCTCAAAGATCTTTAATTGCCCAGAGGCATCACTTGCTCAGAGCAGGGCTTCTCCTGGGAAGAGGCACCAGGTTAGCGCTCTCCTCCACTCCACAAGCAAGGTTATCTCTTTTGGAAATTCAAAGCTTCTCATTCTGCTCCGTGTCATGCCTGCTCCCTTTAATCAGCCATCCCGATCACTCACTGATCATTGTTCTCTGTATGAAGATGTAACTAAGGATTCCTTTGTGTGGCATGGTATTTAAATTGTGCCTTAGCTCCTGGGAAAATTCAGACTCCTTTAAGACATGCCAGTCAATGCATACTCTGACTGGTACAGAGTATGGGTCAGGTTTTTTTAAGAGGATGCTTGTATTTACAGAGTGAAATGAAGGCAGTGAAACAGCGCTATGCTGTTTTCAGGGAACACAGGCATATGCACAGGAGAGTGAGTTGGCAAGAGTTGTACATGTGGCATGGATTCCCATATGCCCTTCTGGGGCAAAGGAATGACAGGTCTAAATAACCAACTCAAGACAGTGAGTGTCCAAACACAGAAAAAAAGTTATGAGTTGGAGATGTCCACTGCTGGAGCTTATCCCAGAGTGTTTATTACACAAGGGAATGTAAGTGGAATAGATACCTCGTTCCCCTGCAGTCCCCATATATGCCCTAAAATCTGATATGAAGAGCTAGAAGTCCTTCCACAGCATATTGTGGGGGACAGGAAGGAAAAAGAGGAAGTCCAGTTGAGTAAACAGACATCCACCAGCAAAGAGTAAAATGGAAGCTACTGTTCTAACTTCTTCCCCTGTTGCCTGAGGTGAGGGGGTGTTTTTTTTTTTTTTACAGCAATAGGATATAATTACATTCTGCAATATAATTCTGTCCCTACGGAGGCAGACTTACTACTAGCTTGCGATCATTTTCCAAAGAACATTCACACTTGTTGAAAAACAGTCCTGACAATTGTTTTGCATTAGATGAGAAGTGGTTAACCAATGAAAAAAGGAGTCAGTTTCTGGGTTTTTTCCTTGTGTGGGGTCACTTTGTGAATGGTAGTGAGCACAAGAAGGTATCCTGTAAATCATCTTGACTGCTGCCATTGGTGTTGTCAACGTTCAGGTTGCTCTCAGCTGTGTAAAAGCTTGACATCCTTTTTCCTGCTGGCAACGCAGGCATGATATTGTGCAGCAATATTGGGCCATTTCCTGGCTTTTTGAATCATGGGTACAGAAGTGCAATATGCCACATTCATAAACTGGAGGTCTTTTTGAAGCATTGATCCACAGTATACTGTGTTTTGCCTTTTTTTAATATCAGTATTGTTGTCTTAAATACAGAGTTTTGATGTGGCGGTTATAATTTTAACTTTTTATAAATCACCCAGTGACCCTGTTAAATATATATTACTCCCCTTCATGCTGGTATTTCATGGTCCCATTTTATATTGCACATTTTTAATACTGCATGCATCCTCAACCGAGTTGGCTTCAGATCAGCTAGATTACAAAGTCTCTCATCTCTGACCATGATGGATGGTGATGATGTAGGATGCACTTTAACATATTTGGAGGGTGCTAATAGATTTACAAAGGCTGCCATGGTGTCTTTCAAAATTATAGTATTTGCTTCTGACTTTG